ATGCCTAGAATCAAATATCATATGATCGGTAGCACCATAATTAATTATCCATGCATTATTGAAAACAAATATACATATATGTAAAGACTTACCATTATTTCTAGTAGTGGCTACAAATGATGAAGATTGTTTGGCATCTTCATACTTTTCCACAACTGCAGTAATATAACTTTTCTTCTTGTTGTTGTTGGGCTTGCTGGATTTCATCTGTACATGCTGACTCTCACTCTAAGCTATCATTACCGAAGTGTCAGCTAAATTTAGAACCAAGTTTTTTCGTAGAATTTCTCCACACATCTTTTTTTTTTTTTACTTTGACTTTTTGACTTTTTTTTTTTTTTTAAAGATATAAAACAAAAAATAAACTAAACTAAACTAAACCTTTTGAAACGCAAATGGGTTTTGGAACACACACTCAATTTTTTTCTCTCTTAAACAAAAAATTTCCCTCCTTTTTTATTTCCTTAAACATGGGCTCTCTTCTTGGCACTAGACAACCGGCGTTGTTCACTCTGGCAGATTGGCGATTTGCGACGACTTTTTAGCTGAGTGATGGATCTAAGCGACAAGAGGATTTCCACAATTTGTTTGGAAGAAACGTTGGTGTCGATCTCAGTTCGTGGCGTCAGATCAGTCGGCGTGGAACTTTGGTTCTCTTCTCGGTGGTGATTGATTTTTGAAGGTACAAAATGGCTACAGATCGATGGTGTTTGGCTTCGGGATTTTTTGGATGGTGATGGCGTTGGTTTTGGGAAATTTATTTGAAGAATTCGGTTTTGTGGGTTACTTGGTGATGTGAGTTGCTCAGGTAGATTGGTAGTGGGTTGCTTGGCAATGTGAAGTTGTTAAGGGCTTAAGGCATTGATTGGGATACTTGGTGTTGGGTTTGCGTTTGGGTTTGATTGGATTGTGGCTGGGAATGTTTTTCTTGGGTAATTTTTGTTGATTTGCGACTAGATTTGATGGTTGGTGGTTGGCTTGATTGATTGTGGGCTAGAAATATTTATCGTGGGTATTTTCATTGTTTGCAACTGCTAAAGATGGAGGTTGAATTTGTTGTTTGGGTTGTGGTCGAATATTGATTGGTTTTTGGCTGGAGGTTTGTGTATTTGGCAAATTTGATATGGGCAGGATGGTGTTTTCTAGTGAACAAAGTTGGTGGTTGGGTTGATTGCAGTCGTTTTCTCCTTCTTAGATTGACGATGACGAGATGATTACTCGCCAGTGATTTTTCCAGCAGTTGCTCTACAATAAGCAATTTTTTTTTTTGCAGATCAGAGAATGGCTTTGATATCATGTTTAATTGAAGAATTATATGTTTTCAATTTATTGATTTTATACTGAGAGTTGCAGGCTTTATATAGGGGAGATACAATCTACGAAATCTCCTAATTATGTCAATTACAATATGCCGACATAATTAGGAGATTACAAGATATCAAGAACATTATGAGTATCCTAAAATTGACAAATTTAAGAGATTATATAATATTTAGGAAATCTCAACATAAAAAAAACTTTAATTTTTTCGATAATTTTTCATTTGCTTTTATAATTGTGTTTATATTTTGAAGCATGATGTTGAATTACTACTTCTTGAAGGTTTGGTTGATTGATTATAGAAAAGAATTATGAATTATGTTTTAATGATTTTTGTTTGCCCCAATATGCTTGATATTTGTTGAAGTACATGTTTTGAAATGAGTTTTATTTTTTATTGGGCAAATGGTTTGAATGAGCAAAAGGAATGCATTGAGTCTGCTAATGTTGAGAATGGTTTGTGTGATTTTCATGTTTACCCTTTTCATTTTACAGAATATTATGATATTAAGCATGTCTTTTTATAAAGAAGAAAAGAATATGAGAAGAGTATAAGATTTTATGAGAAAAGTGATGATTGAGAAAGTAAAGATAGAAGTGTTTTTCAATCCACCCTATGTAGTACCCTTCCTCCCCATATGATTGATTGTGATTCCATCGAGCGATGTAGGATGCCGCTGAGTATGATTGATAGTGATTCTGCTCAAGCGATGTAGGTTGCTGCTGGGTTTGATTGATTGTGATTCTGCCTAAGCAACGTAGGATGCCGCCAGGTATGATTGATTGTGATTCCACCAGAGAGATGTTGGATGCCGTCAGGTATGATTCATTGTGATTCTGTCTGAGCAATGTAGGATACTGTTGGGTATGATTGATTATGATGGTGACCTGAGAGATGTAGGATGCCACAGGGTCGAGGGCTTGAGCAATGTAGGATGCCGCCAGACATGATTGGTTTGTGGTTCTTCCCGAGCGATGTAGGATGCTGCTAGGTAGAATGGTTATTTCCTTGGGTACTAGTAGTGGTGAGAGTTTCCAGTATAAGCTAAGAGCTATATTTTCGGCATGAAGTTTAAAAAAAAAAAAAAAATGAGAACTAGTTATTATTGACTAAGGCTAGTTCATGATAAATGACTTCAGATTTTGAATTATCATAATGATGATTTCGGAAAAGCATGAATAATCATGGTATAACTTTAAATGCTGTTTTCAGAAAAGCTTTTACATTATAATTACTAGTTTATGAGAAATAGTTAAATGTTGAAAAATGATAGTTAGAAAAGTGATCTTAGTAAAGCATGAACTATTTATTGTGCTTATATATATGATGCTGAGAGTTTTCAACATTGGAGCTAAGAGATAGATTATATTTATATGATATGTACATAGAAATGAGTTTTTATTAGCATGAATGTTTCATTACATATTTGAATGATTTATAAAAACAACCACCCACTAAATATTTCAGCTCACTCTTTTCAATTTGTTTTCCCCTCCCCACCAGGTCAACAAGAAGGTTGTGACGAAGAGTGATTCCTCTCGAGGTTGGGCCCACACTTCATTGACTGATCATGTGTGTAAAAGTTATGTTTCATTTTCTGTTGCGGAACTATGTTTTAACTCATATGTTTACTTCATACTTTGATTGTAATAGATATGAGAATCTGATACCTTACGTTTTTCAAATTTTATAAAAGTATGTGTTATGCATTCAGATTTTTAAATATGTGTATAAATTTTGTATATGTTTTTATTATGAAAACAAAATGACAATTTTACATGTTCATGTTGAAACCAAGAGAATGTTTTTATGAAGCGTATTTAGAAAACAAGTTTTGCAGCATCCACACGGCATGTCTCGATCCCCCCAATCCTATATGGGAGCACTTGGATCCTATAAGATAGGGAGGGTCAAGACAGGTCATATCAACTTTGGCCTTGAACAATTTTTGTGGTGATCAGTGTAGTAACATAATCAGAAGTTTTCAGTATTAGCTAGCAATCCAGGTAAATTCAATCGGCAAATTAAAAGAAACAATAAAGAAAAGCCTAGTAAAACATAAATTCTGTAGAGATTTCTTTCTTTCTTTCATTTTTTTAAAGCACCCTTAATATTCAACTTTTCGTATTTACTCAATCTAGTATTGGAACATGACTTAGTGAAAATCATTATTACAATATATTTAGACTTAAAACAGTTCGTAGCTTTTGACAATATATCCTTTGGAATCGTATCAAAATAGAAATAATTAATTATTCTAAAATCAAAATGGGGTTGGTATAAAAACTAATTAGAAATTAGAAGTGTAAATCATCAAATTTTACTTTTGCTTAGCTCAAATAAAAATTCTTATTAATAGAGAATGTGAAAAACTCATATTTGTCAAACTTATGAATTGTGTGTGTGCACAATGTTCTGCGTGCATACTAATTGCTAGACTTGAGTCTTGGCTTGTTTCGTTTAGAGTGTGTGTGCATAACAGTTTGTGCTAATATTTGCAACCCAGCATGAGTTACATGTCTAATAAAGTAAAAAAGATATCGTTTATCTTTGTCTCTCACTTTTTATAACCTTTTTACATGTGTTACAGTATCCTTATGTGGTCCTAGGGAATAAAGTTTTTTTTCCAATTTGTTTTGTGGTCCAAACCAAAAGAAGGAAAACTTTCCTTATTTGAACAAATATAGGTCAACCCTTTGTTGCTGACTTGGCACTATATTGTTGAACAAGAAATCTTTCATTATATAATAACCCTTCTTGCCTATATGAATCTAACATTTTAATCTTTTATTTCCTTGTACTTTGAAATTTCTTACAGTACCTTTTCTCTTAAGATTCAAGGCTCATCTTCATTATGTGCGAGAACCTCACCATATCAAACATAGACTTGATGGTTCTTGGAACGTGATTCCTTTGCTGATGATGGTGCGTGGCATCAATGCTTGAAGCTTGATGGTTCACAAGCTATTCTCGGGTGTGTTCCCAATGTGAAGAAGATCCAATGAATTGCTACACATTAAGGATTCAGAGTATGATGCTAAGTGTAAAGTTGAACAGGGAAAATTTTTTACTGTATCTCATATCAACTTTGAACATTGTCTTATAATGTGTTTTTAATTTAATGGATTGCTTCGATTTGAATAGAGTCCCATTGATGAAGGCTAAAAGTGGATTTAGCCGAACTATGTATATGACTGTGTTCTTTATTTTCCACACTTGTGGTTGATGTAGTTAAATTGAAAATCTTTTAATCAACTTGATAATACTTCCGCTGCACTTAAAATGGGTAATCTAACACTAAAGTGAGTTAACCAACTCCAATAGAGAAATTAATCAAATTGTTACCTTAAGATTTTTGCTTTTGCTATTGGGAATCTGCTTTTCTTTTTATTTCGTTTACTTGCTTTCCACTCCTGCATCATATTCTTGCTTTAGGAAATTAAAGGCCATATTCAGGGAGGAGTAATTTTGACAATTAGTCAATAGATGGGGAAAGCTATATACCTAAACCACCGAGCAAGGCTTCACTTTGCTCATTTAGTGAAATATTCTATGGCTTTCCATGCCATGCAGTATAAAAAGAGAGAAGATGGATGGGTAGTATTTTCACAGCATAAACACCATCCATCTGATAACTCAATATTTCTCCCTTTTCTTCATTCAATTATCACCTTTTATTATGGCTTCTGAAATCGTTCCCTATGTCTGGAAACGATTTTCTTCATTAATCTTTGTTCAAGACACACACAGAAAGGTGCTGCGTGCAGCGGGTGTCAGGAAAGAAGTAGAAAAAATTGCCAAAAACTTTAAAGACATTCTAGCTGTTCTGCCGGATGCTCAGGCACGAGAAATGCAGGAACAGAAAGTGAGAGATTGGTTAGATAAGGTCAAAAACATATCCTATGATATGAATGACGCATTTGATGAGTACAGCACTTTATTTCTGAAACTGCAAATTGTGGGAGATGAACATCCTCTGGTTAAAAAGAAGGTATGTTTCTTCTTTCTTGCTCCTCGCTTTTTCTTTGCAGCAGTTAATTTATGCCATCGAAGTGCTGTTATGATAAAAAAGATAAATGAAAATCTAGATGATATTGTTAACGAGAAGCATGACCTTAGTCTTAATGCGAGTGAAAGTACAGAGAAACAAATACAGATTACCTCGTCATCTGATCTGAATGAGATAAATAGTGAAAATGAGAAAGAAAAAATTTTAGTAAGCAAGTTGTTGGGTGAGGGTAGTAGTCTGATCTCAATTATGGGTATGAAAGAGGAAGGAAAAACACTTGTTCAATCTGCTTACAATAACAATGAGGTGATTAAAAATTTTAGTAAAAGAATATGGGTAAACATATTGGGCTCTGAAGACAAGTGTAGCATTAAAATTGAAGTTTCAGAAGGCAAGCCTATTTCAGTTGGATATGATGTTTTTAATAAAACAATTAATCAACATATAAAAGATGAGAAATTTCTTCTTGTCTTAAATGATATGAGGATAGAAGATTTCTATAAATTGGAATCAGTTTATTTTGTAATAGATGGTGGTATTGATGGAAGTAAAATTTTAATTATCACAAGTGATGAGAGGTCAGATGCTTTTAGGATAATCTCAGACGATATTATAATGATTAATGAATTATCTGGGGAGGAAAATTGGTCAATGTTTTCAAAACTAGCCTTTTCTGGAAGATCAATTCAGGAGTGTGAAAGCTTAAAAGAAATTGGTCAGAAAATTGTCAGTAGGTGCCTAGGCTTGCCTCTTGCCATACAGATCATGGGCAGTATGTTACGCTTTAAAACTAGTATTCAAGAGTGGGAGCGTATCTTAGATAATAAAGTTTGGACACTAGAAGAGTCAAAGGTAGGTTTTCTGCCAGTGTTTTTTTTGAGTTATTATGATTTGCCCTCTATGGTAAGATTGTGTTTCATATACTGTGCCATCTTTCCTAAGGGTTATAGTATGAATAAAGATAAATTGATTAAATTATGGATGGCTCAAGGTTATCTTGGATTAGAACCAAATATAGAGATGGAGATACTAGGTCAAAGATATTTTAACCACTTAGTAACACGATCCTTCTTTCAAGATTTTGAAAAAGATGATAACGGTGATATTACAAGTTGTAAGATTAATGGTTTAATGCATGACTTCGCCAAATTTCTGAATCGGAATGAGTGTATAGAAATTAATGATAGTGCCGAAGAGCCATCGAGAAACTCTGTCCCTGACAAAGTTTTCCATTTAATGTTAATGCTTAAGAAAAGTTCGTCTTCTGTCCCCAATTTGAATGCCAAAAGATTGCGCACTCTCTTCATTAGTTGTGAAGATGATTACTACCATTTAGACAATGATATTCTTCAACAGTTGTTTGGTAACTTGGCGCGTGTAAGGGCATTAAAGTTTGATGTTTTTGTTAGAGAGATTCCAACAGAAATAGGAAAATTAATACAATTAAGATATCTTGATTTATCTGGGCAACAAATAAAAAAACTACCAGAAACTTTGTGTCAGTTATATAATCTACAAAGTTTAGACATTACTTGGTGTGATGAACTTGAAGAATTACCTCAAGCAATGGGAAAGTTAATAAACTTGAGGCATTTAATAAATGATTATACTTATTCATTAAGTTACATGCCAGTAGGGATCGGGAGACTAACACATCTCCGAACATTAAGTGAATTCATTGTAAGTGGTGCTGGTAATGGTACTCCTGATAGCAAAGCATGTTGTCTTGAAAGTTTGAAAGATTTGAACCGTCTTCGAGGGAAACTTGTCTTGAGAGGGTTAGGAAATGTGAGAAATGTTAGTGAGGTTGTGAAAATGGAACTTAAAAATAAGAAAATTCTCTCTGGTTTGGGGGTACTCTTCGATGAGGATGAAGAAGAGCAGAGGATAAATCATGATGAATCACTTCTCAAGGCCTTACAACCACCTCCAAATTTGGAGAAACTTGATATACAATTCTATAGAGGCAGCACTTTTCATTCCAATTGGGTGATGTCATTAACCAGTTTGAGACATTTAAGACTCAAATTTTGCATAAATTGTAAGCATTTGTCTCCTTTTGGAGAATTACACTCTCTTGAGTCACTAAGGATACGTAAAATTTCTAGTGTGAAAAGAGTGGATGATAAATTTTGGGGAATAGAAAGTGATGGCAGATCTTCATCATCGTCATCATCTATTCTCTTCCCCAAATTGAAATATCTCAAATTTTCAGATATGAAAGAATGGGAAGAGTGGGATTTTAAGATTATAAGGGAGGGAGAAGAAAAAGAATGTATTACATTCATGCCATGTCTTGCTTCATTGGAAATCAATTTCTGTGGCAAATTAAAAGCACTGCCAGACGACCTTCTCCAGAGGATAACATTGAAGAAATTGGAGCTTTATGGATGTCCTGTTCTAACACAATATTTCAAAAAGAGAATAGAAGAGCATTGGCCCAAGATCAATCAAATTTCTACCATCAAGATTGATGGTGAATATGTGCGAGGAGGCCCTGATCACTGAATTCTCAAACAGCTGCAATTACCTTCAATCCGAAGGCCACAGGTAATTGCTTCCTTTTTTATTACTTGTTCTCTGTAATCTCAGAACTAGATACGTTTGTTAATCAGATTATATGTTATATTATTGTCTCTAAGCCACCCTAGAAATATCAGTCTTTTAAATTTTTTGTCTTGCTGTTATTACTTGTTAAGTATACTAAATTGTTGGCTTACGATTAATTCCGCAGCTATATTTTTAGCTACAAGTCACATCTGTTTAATTTAAGGAATGTGGCTTGTAGCAGAGGAGGAGAATAGCAGAATTTGACCAGCTCGAGAAGAGAAGAGGATTTTCAACAATATTTTTCATTTCTGTTACCTGTCTGAGTTCTGGTTTGTTTTCTTCGTAACCTCTCTATTATATTTTTATTTGTTTGGAAATATGGTCTTCGGGAAGCGGTCATAACAAGACAACATCCTTGTTTTTCTATCAGGTTGAACAATTGAAGTTGGAAAAGATTTCCACACTAGTCAAAAGCAGTTACCTTTCATTTTCCATTGAAAGTTAGCTATAATAAGATACCTCTTAGCCTTTTTGAACTAAACATCGAACCCCGGAAGAATGGTGCAGGGAAGTTCCTGGAAAGAATTCCAGTGGTGTATTTACCTGAAGATCAAATTGGTTAGCTATACTTGATCACTGCTCTTTATTATTTCTTCATTACTTTATGCTCAATTAAAAAAAGTTATCAACGGCAGCAGTAACTCCAGCTGTCCTAAGTTAGCAAAATTCCATGTCGCATAAGTAGTGAACATAACTGTTTGACTGATTATGTTGTGTTTCTGAATTTACAGAATTGATTCGCTACTCATGCTTGCTATGCCGAGAATTTAAATCTTGTTATCAACCACAGAAAATACTTGAAGCCAAAGCTATGAAGGAATAATTTATCTGTCAAAGGGGGAACCCCAGTGAGACTCGTGTAAATAATAGAAAATGTGCCTGATAACAAGTGCTCAATGAAAGTTGTTCACATTTTTTTGGTGAGCTTCCCTTGGATCTATATTTCTATTTTCTATTTGCTTTTTATGTTTCTTGAAAATTAAATTGTTTGATAATGAAGTATTGTCTATTTCAGGGGTTCATAAATTAGTTGTCAAAGTACAGGCATGCAATGATTATCTTCAGAAATATTTTCTGTTTTTGATATATTTAAAAGAAAATAATAATCCAGGTACTAGATTGACCAAAAGAATTTTATATAGTCTATGATTTATCCATATTTTTTATAATTGCAGAATTCAGATGTCAATGGTAATAATCATGAATTAATATTACAGGTTGGAGTTTTTCCGATGGGCAAAGGAATTTAATTTTCGAATTGGCTATAATGCTTTATGATGTACAAGACAGAGAATAGCAGAATGTGACCAACGGGAGAAGAGAGGACTTACAATAAGGTCTCTGTTCTGATTTTCCGCATAAGGTCTCCATTTTATCTTGATTATGTCCTTTAAAAGTTTGGCAATTATCACAAAATAACCACCTTAGTTTTCTATCAGGTTGAACAATTAACGTTGGAAAAGATTTTCAGCCTATTTAAAAGCAGTTACATCTGAGAAGTTTTCCCTTAATGAACTTTATGCTTTGAAATGTTGGATTAATTATGCAGCATGTTAGGGAGCTTCTTCATTTTTCGTTAAATTGGCTCTGTGAGATCCTTTTGTGACACATTGGGGTTTTCGTATGCTTATGTGGATATTGGAAAGGGCTTTTTATTTCTTATTAAGAAAGCTTAATGTCCATGTTTTAGTTTTGATGCAGTGACCAAGTTTAATGTATCATAAATATATCTTGAAGAAATCAAAAGACTATATGATGAGATATGACAGGAGCTCTTATCATGCTGGAGAAGATTGACAGAGGCAATTAGCCTCGAAATATATAGCATAACATCTCCTTACTTCTTAAAGGTTGCAACCTGTTTTTCCAAGTGGTATTGTTAATATTAAGGCATGGAACTTTATATTCAAATTTTCAACTTCTAGTTCCAAAACAAATACTTCTTGTCTCACTGCAGTTTTTTTCATTAAAATACAGGGGAGGGTGATTATGCGACCAACCAAAGGAGGGAGAAAGAGTCATTCTAAATGACTTTACTCAGAAATGGAGAATTATCACCTGAAGTTGCTAGAAAGGAGCAATATTGTGTTTCTGCCCCAAAGATCAAGTTGTATAGTTATGCTTGGTAACTTCTCTCTATTTTTTCTTCATTGGTTTATGTTTAATTTAAAATACTATTACAGAATATCTGGCTGATTATCCTATGTTTCTTCACACGCAGTTGATTTGCTACTAAGGCTATCCATGCTGATAATATAATACTCTGTTACTGATCAGCAGAGAAAATACTCAAGAACTCAATGTCTAGGTTTCACATTTGCTTGGTGGGCTTCCTCACTTTACATTTGCGTTTCCTTCATGCTCTGTATTTTTCCACCAATGTTGCTAAAAAGAACTTGTGATTGGGGAAAGGATTTATGCTTCACATACAGAATATGATAGAATCAAAATCATTATTGTCATCTTTAATCCTATGTAATAGTTTCTATTTCATGTCACAGTGTGTTTTTAGTATTAAGTGGTCATCCAATGATGCATTGTGGTGACAAGTCCAGCATCATGGTAGGCATGAGCATTTCAGACAGCAAAATCTAATCAAAGAAACTGGTGGTATGTGACAACTGACAAACTATAGCTTGATTTCTGTACACTATCTTGTATATAATTTCAGTTGTTGATATAGAAACTTGATTATCTGAATACATCGATTTTATTGCGGTGAAGCAAGTTTATCTGTCTCGCAGTCTAGAGGAATTTAAGGTCATATGATGATGTGTAACTGGAACATGGCAAAATGAGGTTCTTTTTACATAAACTTTCTCCATCAAATGTCACCATATACTAAAATATTACATTCTCTTTTAGTTTATTAAAATAATCATTAATTTCCATCCACAGAACTTTGTATCACATGGGACAAAATTGACCGGGAGCAATCAATCTCAAATTATCCTATGTAACTTTTGTCAGTACTTCTTAAGTTCATAGCTCCACTTTCGCAATGCTCTCTATTTATTGATTTTTAATTTGAAAGCAAATCATTCAATTGTGTGACTGGTTGTGTTTTCTCTTTAAAATCCAGAATTAATTTACTACTCATGCTGGCAAGGCTAGTATTTCAAAATTCTGTCAATGATTAGCAGCGGAGATGCTTAAGGTCAAAGCAGTTGTCAAGCACCAACTTATCAATGGTAGAAACTTCAATTAGGACCTTGTACAAAAGAGAAAATGTGGCTGATGAAACAAGTTCTCTATGTCAGGTTTTCACATTTGTTGTGTGGAGTTTTCCATTAGGTCTAGATTTCTACATCCTTTTACATATATATATCTTATTTAGAAACAGAGTTCTAATTCTTAGTAGGTAATTTATGTCCTAAGCAATTACAATATTTTCTTAGACAAGGTTGCTTAAAGAACTTGACAGTGAAAGGTTCCTCATGATCAGTTAAATCCTGAATTTCATTTGCAATCTCGTAAATAATATATTTTCATGTCAGCGTGTTCTAGCATTCGGTGGTCAATAAAGGATGCATTGGTTGAGAATGGGAAATAACAGCTTTAGTTTCTACTAGGTGAACAATTAAGGATGGAAGATTTTCAGACTAATCAGAAGCAGTTACACCAGAACATTTTTCTAACTTCTGTATCTTGCAGAACGGTTCCAGGAAGTTACTACGTACAAAGGAATCAAATTTTCTATCTACCCCAAAGACCAAAGTAATTAGTTATGCATGGTAATTCTCCCTCAATTCTTCATTTATTTATATTCAATAAAAAAGCATATTGCAAATATTTTACTGGTGATAGTGTGTTTCCTCATATGCAGAATTGATTTGCTACTGAGGCTAAATATGCAGAGAATTTTCTGTAAAAGGACTCAAATGGTGTGCTTGCCGCAGTTACGAAATTGGTTAGTCATGCTTGTCACTGATTTGTTATGTTTCTTCATTTGTTTAAGTTCCAATCAGAGAGTGTGTATATCATAGAACTGTTTGACTGTCATGCTTCTTTTAATATCCAGAATTTATTTGCTACTCATGCTAGCTATGCCAAGAACTTAAAGCTCCTTTGCCAATCAACAGAGAAAGTACTGAAGGACCAAATTCTATTGGTCAATATTTCTTGGAACTTCATTGAGGCTCCAGTGCTCAATGTCTAGTTTTCACATTTGCTTGGTGAGCTTCCAAAATAAATTGCTATTGATAACCTTGAAATATGCTATCTCTGTCAATATATCTTAAAGGTCGCAGCCCCACTTCTCAAAAAATAATTGAGTAGACAACATGTTCCCACCCAAGGTTTAGCAAAGACCTAACTTACCACCCCTGCTTTCATAAATCCCATATTACCACCCTTAAATGAACACCGTGAGTGACTGTTGAGTGCTATTACCCTATTGCCCTTGACAAAACCCACCCATGGATTCATGAATTTCGACAGCCATTTTGGTTCCTTCCTCACCGGAAAACCCACCAAACCCGGTAGGAATCTCTCCCCTAGCATCGTTCGAACTCCCCCAGCCCCCTTTTGACCAAAATTTATTGTATTGGATTTATGCAGCCACCAGTGAGCTCCTCCGCCTTGCGATCGTCGTTTTCTGGCCCAATTTCAGCGTCTTTGGAAGGCCCTGACACCACCCAACACATCCTCTCACCTCTTTTATCAAAACCCTTATCATTTCCACCCCTCTACATTGCCAAATCGCCGGCCACCGCTCAGTGGAATGGTGCACTCCTCTTGCCGATTTTCGATCAATTTCGACGACAAAAACCCACCTCGACACCACCTTTTGATCCATCGACATGCCCTCTTTAAAACCCTCACCACCCTAAGCTGTGATTGCTAAAATTTGGTCACCGTGAGGGCCAAGAAGCAGCCATTTGGCTACTTCTTCTTGGCCGCGGTGGCCAGATTTTGGACACCACATGAGGTCCTCATGGCGACTGGATTTTGCGACAAGAAGCGGCCATTTAGCTACTGCTTTTTGGCCCATGCAAAGGCCAAGTCTGGCCGCCATGAGAGAAATGTTAAAGAGAGGGTGCTTCTGAGAGAAATTTAATATATGGAGGGTCGTTTAGAAATTTTTATTTCAGATTTATTGCGGCATAAATGACTATTTTACCCTTTGTACATAAAATTAAATGTTTTTCTCTTAATTTAAGGGTGGGAATATGAAATTTATGAAACCAAGGGTAGTAACTTGGGTTTTTGCTAAACCTTGGCTGGGAACATGTTGTTTACTCAAAATAATTATCTGATTTTAGTGTTTAGGTGCTATTTTTTTTTACTAATGGTATGCTACTTTCTATTCGCAGAGGGGAAAAAAAAGAAGAAGCTATTTTAGTGACAAGTCATTGTTACATTGATTTTGGATGACACCACCACAAAAATTGGTCATTGGACTCAAAGGGTTAGTTATATAATCCTTTCTCTCAATGCTTTGTGTTTTTCTTCATTTATTGGTGGTTATTTGACACCAAATCATTCCATTGTCTGATAACTTTTGTTTTTTCCCTTAAAAATGTAGAATCAATTTGCTAGTCATGCTAACAAGGCTAGTATGAAGAAATTCTGTGGAAAAGTTACCTGAAAGTTTGTGTATTGTGTTTGATATGATTCATACTTTGCATGGGCTTAGCGGATTATCGACTTACGTTGACGCATTCAGAGGTCTCACTTGCCAATGAGTGAGTGGGGTTGAGGGGGTAGCACCCCCTTGATGGTGAGCCCAATTAGTAATTGGGTTTAGAATTGATTTGTAAATATTTTGGCTTGGGTTTGGTTAGATTGGGTCAGCCCAAATGGGGTTAGGGTTACTATTATATGCATATTGTAATAGTGGAAAATCTCTAGGGTGAGAAAATTAGAGAGAAAGAGTGAGCTGCTGATACTTTTTCATCATTGTATTTCACAGATTTTGAAACTCAATAAAACTACTCTATTTGAATATTGGACGTAGTTCTCAGTAATTGAGAATGAACCAGGGTAAATTGATTGTGTCCTCTTTAACTTTCTATTGTATTTGTTGTGTCTTTTGGTTGTAGTTTCAACATGTTGCACATTTTAGATATTTGAGTCATTTAATAAATACCTTTGTATCACTAAGTTACATTCCAAAAGAGATTCAGAAATTAAGTGGTCTTAAAACATTGTTGGAATTCGTTATAAGTGGTAATGATGATCATGATAGTAAAGCATGGACTCTTGAAGGATTGAAAATTTCGAATAATCAGCACCAAAACAAATATTTTCTTTCTTCTCTCACTGTAGTTTCTTGCCCTACAATAGAGGAGAGAAGAAGAAGTCAATCAAAGTGTATGTTCCCAAAAGATCAAATTGGTTAGTTATGTTCATTGAAAAGAATATATTTCACAAATTTTGACTCTGGCTATGTTAGTTTTCTTGATATGCAAAATTGATGTGTTGCAAAAGCTAATTATGTGTATAATCTAAATATCTGTTGGCCAATGGAGGATAGTCACCGATTCTTGCAACAAAAAGAAAATGTATGAGATAAAACAAGTGTCCAGTGTTTGGCTTTCACATTTGCTTGGTGAGCTTCCATCATATCTACATTTCTATATCCTTTTTGTTTTCTGTTTTTCTTGAAAAATTAACTGGTCATTGATAATAAGCATTGTTCAAAGCACGTATTATTGTTTCTTTTTAGATTAGTATTCCAAATCTTACAGTTTAAACTATTAGATAGACTTACGTCAATTCTAATAGACATTAACCCATATAAAAGTATAACAGATAATTCACTTGTACACAAAAGGAAAAAAAAAAAAAAAGACATGTAATTCACCCTTCACGTTAATTCTAATAGATGTTAACCCATATAAAAGTACAACAGATAATTCACTTGCATACAAAAGGAAAAAAAAAAACATGTAATTCACCCTTAATTCACTCTTCTCTATGTAATAATTGTTGTTTTGGAGTTGAGATTTGATTAATGATTGTTAGTTTTAGGGGAATATTTCTTAGTATTTGAAAGGTCGGGACCTTGACATTAGATCAAAAGTTCATAGGGATTAAGTCAATCTCTCCTTATAATTGATAGTTTCTTGGTGTTGGATTTAATTATGTGAAAGGGTATGAAAATAATTTACAAAGTGGTTACATATTAAAATTTAAATTAATGTAAAAATATAAATAAATAGATTTTAAAAGACAAAAAGAAATAAAAATAAAAATAAAAAGAGGTTGACAAAATCATTAGAATTAGGCATCAAAACTTGTGTCCATAGCAAGTTTGAAGACATTGTTGAGATTAATTTACATATAAAAAAAAAAAATACTAAAATAAAACTAAAAATTTGATAGTGTATTTTAATATTATTATTTTTTGAAAAAAAAAAAAAAAAAAAAAAGAAATTTAAATTGACTTGCAGTCAAAGGACAAAATTACCCAAAAGAAATACTAAATTTTCCAACCAACTCCCCAACTACTTAACGAACTCTTTCTCATTTCTTCTTCATTCATCTACCAAAACTTCTAGTGTCTCCCTCTTCACTGTAACAATCAACTCATACTTTCATTTAATTAAATTATTTTTTCCAAATATTTAGTTCTTTTGCAGTCAACACGGAATCTCCACCATCTACTGACTCTCTCATCAACGGTTAAAAACATGTCTTCCCTCACTCTCACTTCCACCACCATCACTAGAGTACTGGCCCAACCCAATCCCCACCGGCCCAAATATGCAATGACTTGTATTCATTCAAACTGAAATCTTTTCCATGGAAAAATCAAAATGATCCTATGCTCTCTCTCAATAGCAATAATACCTTAAAGAAAACTAAGGGGATATTAATAATATGTAATCTTAATTAAATATAAGGTCAATAACATTATACACACCATTCTAGAATAAAATTAATTTGGATCATAAATAGAGAAAACTCTTTACAGTTTTGACCATCATACAAGTACGTTTGTGTCCATAAATTATTTGTAATTAATTATTAATTAAAAAAGTGAAAATAGTAAAAAAAAAAAAAAAAAAAAAAAGTTAAATAACAACACAATTTGTGTCTATAAATTAGTTGAACACATAGAGTTGTTGTAATCTACCCATAAATAAACTGGTTCTCTACAGGGAAAAAAAAGTGTTCTATGCACACGTTTATAGAACAAATTTTTTCTAAATATCCCAAATCAATGAACATCATAATTGAGGGACAAATTTGTTTTGAAAGAAGGGAAGGTAGGCCCAAAAGCCATGTGAAATATAATTGTAATAGTCCGTGGCTTAAAGTTAATCGAGTGGGGGACAAAATCATTTTGAATGAAAGGAAAGGTAGGCCCAAAGTCATGTCAAATATATCAGGACGTACTATTTTCAGAACATGATTCAACTTTAGTCAATTACACAATTTATTTCTTGTGAGCAAGCTGTCTTTTTTTTTTTTTTTTCCTTAGAATTATCTTCTCAATCATTCATGATAAATTTAATATAATAGAGTATGGGGTGTTAAAAAAAAAAAAAAATCAAATCATACGGTTGAAAACTCCGGATAATAAAGCTTACATGACTTTCAATAAAATAATTTTCAGCAAAACTGGTGCCAAAACATAAAAGATCAGGTGCTGATTTCTCTTTACAAGAATAAACGTCATGGGCTGTTCTCCAGTATAAAACATGATTACCTCTGAAACTTCCCTAGACTTTCATGTCTCCGTTTCCTTTTTCTTAAAAAAAAAAAAAAAAAAAACTCCAGGAGATATAGCTAGAAATTTATGAGAAAATGTTGAATATATTCTATCGGTTAGGCGACAAAAGTAGCAAACGAACATTTTCAAAAAGTTAATAAATTAGGGGACAAAAGCAATAAATTATAGGAAATTATATTATTGACATAGATTCCATACATAATAATGATATGGATGGCAGCATTCACTATCATAACACCAAAGCATACGAAATAAAAATCTCCATTTCTTCTCTTCCAGATTATTGACCATATCTGAGTATGGCTGAAGCAATTGTTTCGGTTGCCTTGGACCAGCTGGCTTCAATTCTAGCTCAACAGACTACTGGCTTCATAGGAGAACAGGTGAGGCTAGTGGGGGATGTTGACGAAGAAGTAGATAAGCTTAAGAACAATCTTCAAGCAATTCAAGCTGTGCTATTTGATGCAGACCAAAAACAAATGAAGAATAGAGCTGTGAGATTTTGGTTGGATCGGCTCAAAGACGCATGCTATGACGTCTAAGATGTGTTGGATGAGTGGAACACTGAAATCATGAAACTCAAAATTGAGGGAGGTTATGACCATAATGCTAGTGCTCCTAAGCAGAAGGTACTTTGCTTCTTTCCCTCTCCTTGCTTCGGCTTCAAAGAAGTTGTTTTACGTCATGACATTGCAGTTAAGATAACAGAGATAAATATAAAGTTAGATGCTATTGCAAAAGAAAAAGGTGATTATAATCTTAATGTCATTCCAGCTAATGAGAGACCTGATTATCAACGAATGTAAACTACTACTTTTATCAATGTATCTGATATATGTGGTAGAGATGTTGAGAAGAATTATTTAATTAACAAGTTATTGTGTGAGAGTAGTCAACAAAGTCTCCATATTATCTCACTTGTAGGTATGGGAGGGATTGGAAAAACAACTCTTGCTCAATATACCTGCAATAATGATCAGGTGAAGAGCAATTTTAATTCAATAATATGGGTTTGTGTATCAAATCCTTTTGATGTGTATCAAATCCTTTTGATGAGTTCAAGATCGCTAGAGTGATCATTGAAGGTCTAAAAGTTCCTACTCCTAATATAGAAGATCTACAATCTCTTCTTCAACGTATTCATGATTCTATAGCGGGTAAAAAGTTTCTTCTTATTTTAGATGATGTGTGGAATGAAGATTACAATAAATGGGAACCATTCCATAACTGTTTGAAGAATGGTCTCCATGGAAGTAAAATTTTAATTACTACACGTAAAGAGTCAGTTGCATGTATTATGAAGTCAATTGATATTATCAATGTTAAAGAATTGTCCTATGAAGAGAATTTGTTACTATTTAGGAGGCTAGCTCTTTCAGAAAGACCTGCTCATGAGTGTGAAAAATTAGAAGAAATTGGTAAGGAAATCGTTAAGAAGTGCAAAGGGTTACCTCTTGCTACAAAAACCATTGGGAGTCTTTTGCAGTTTAAGAGGAGTAGAGATGAATGGCAACGTGTTTTATATAGTGAGATGTGGAAATTAGAGGAGATTGAAAAGGGTCTTCTATCCCCTTTGATGTTGAGTTATAACGATTTGCCATCCTCGATAAGAAAATGTTTCTCTTATTGTGCTGTCTTTCCATTAGATTACCATATAAGCAAAGATGAATTAATCAAATTATGGATGGCACAAGGTTATTTGGGGTTAGAAAAAAATACAAAATTAGAGACAATAGGTGAAGAGTATTTTCATCACTTAGCAACACGATCTTTCTTCCAAGAACTTTTAGACTCTGAAGATGATATATGGGGATGTAAGATGCATGATATAGTGCATGACTTTGCTCTTTTTTTGAGTAATGGTGAATGTCTTGCTATAGAAGTCAATATTTGTGATAATGATCCCTTTATAAACTCTTCTAACAAAAATGTTTGTCATTTAATGTTAAAGGTTAATAAAGGGGTTTCATTTCCCATGTCCATTTGTAGTGTCAAAAGTCTACGTAGTCTTATCGTGATTCATGACGGAGGTGAAAATTCAGTATCTGGTGATGTTTTAAAAAAGTTTTGTGAATTGACATGTTTAAGGTCATTGAGATTCCCGAGATGCGGAGTTGAAGACATCCCAAAAGAAATTAAAAAATTGGTACACTTAAGATACCTTGATTTGAGTGGCCAAAATATAGTAAAGTTACCAGAAAGTTTATGTGAATTATATAATTTGCACACTTTAGATATTAGCGGTTGTAGTAATATACATGAATTGCCTCTAGGAATAGAAAAATTAGTAAATTTGAGGCAGCTAGTAAATGAGAGGATTTATTCACTACATTACATTCCAAAAGGGATCAAGAGATTAACTGCTCTTCGAACATTATCTAAATTCGTTGTAAGTGGTGGAGGTGATCATGATAGCAAAGCATGTATGCTTGAAGGATTGAAAAATTTGAATCACCTTGAAGGAAGTCTAGAGATAACTGGTTTGGGAAATTTGACAAATGTGAGTGAGGCTGAAATGAAAGAAGTACTTAAGAATAAGGAAAACCTCACTATTTTGAGTCTGAATTTCGATATACTTGGAGAAGAGGAGAGATTATGTGAGGATGATGAACTAGTCCTTGAAGTGTTACTGCCACCTCCAAAATTAGAGTGGTTGTTGATAGGTTTCTACAGAGGCAATAGTTGTCCCTCCACTTGGATGACGTCGTTAACCAAACTGAAGGAGTTGCATCTTCTTTATTTCTCAAACTGCAAGAATTTGCATCCTTTGGGAAAATTGCCATCCCTTGAGAAACTAATTATACGAAGCATGGAAAATGTGAAAGAAGCGGATAGTGAATTTTGGGGAATGGAAAGTGGAGCCTCTTCATCATCTTCATCCTCTTGTTTCTTTCCCAAATTGATAGAACTCGAAATTTGGGATGTGGAATGGGAATGGTGGCATTATGGGCATATGGAATGGGAAGAGTGGGATTCCGAGAATTCAGAGAAGGAAGAAGAAGAAGAAGAAGAAGAAGAAGAAGAAGAAGAAGAAGAAATAAGATTCATGCCATGCCTTGCTTCGTTGACAGTTAGCTACTGCCCAGAATTAGTAGCATTACCAGCCAGCCTTCTCCGGAAGACAACACTCAAGGAATTGGAGATAACTGAATGTCCTCTTCTAACAGAACGATGCGCTAATAAAGTTGGAATTGACTGGCCCAAAATCGCTCACATCCCTAACATCCAAATTGATTTTATACGTCAACATCCACAGGTATTACTTATGTATGCTCTTTCTTATTATATTATATGTTAAGTTTGCTGATACTGCCAAGAAACCATGTGATTGGCCATTGGCTTTCCATGTTCTCTTTTATCCTCATTTTTAATGCTTTAGTTAATAATTAATCAATGTTACAGGGGTAGATTCATTTCAGAGGTGGCAAAGATTTGCTAGTCCAAGTCGCTTGAATGTTTTGTGGGTCAAAAGCAGTAACAAAAAGAGAATATTTTTCATAATTTGGGTATTCCTTCTGAGGGATCAATGGTGTAGGTAGCTTTTTCATTTGCTCGAAATTCACTTTGTAAAATGCTTTGATTACTCATTGAGGTGTGCTAATGCTTATACGGATATTGAAATACTTTTTGTTCCTTATTAAGGAAACTTAGGGTAAATATTTTTGTTCCAGTGCATGTGAAGGATCAAGGAAATACAATATACCAGATGAAGCAACTGATCATTCTTCACTTGTCTCACCTGTATGAGTTCTCCAAATTACAGGATATGAAGGATGGGGGAAGAAAGAGAAGAATTACAATCAGTTGGATACTGCCCCGAGTTACTACAGGGTAAGTGCAATTGTCGTTATTAAGACATGGAATTTTATATTCAAAGCTTCAACTTTCAGCCATTAAACAAATATTTCTCGTTTCACTGCAGATACTTGCACTACGTAGAGGAGAAGATTATTAGGTTTACAGATTTCGTTCTAAATGAATTTACTGGAAAGCACTCAAATGGTTTGCCTGCCCAACAGATCAAATTGGTTCGTTATGCTTGGTCTCTGTGCTCTATTTCTTTTAGTTATTTCTTTATGCTCCAATCTAAAAGCATATCTTACAACTGTCTGACTAGTTATGCTTTTGCTTCTTAATATGCAGGATTCATTTGCTACTCATTCTAGTTATGCTTAGAATTTGATGCTCTGCTACTGATTCATCAGCAGAGGAAATACTCAGGAACTCAATGTTTAAGTTTTACATTAATTTGCTTGGTGGGCTTCCTCAAATTTAATTTGTATTTCCTCGTTGCTTTGTATCTTTCTTGAAAATAAATTGCTACTGACAATAGACATTATCTTCTGAGTATATAACCTTTTTTTTCGACGATGTAGCTGAAAAGAACTTGTGATTGGCGAAAGGATTATCCTCCACATGCAGAATCAGCATCATTATTGTCATCTTTTAGTATTAACTGGTCACCCACTGATGCATTGTGGTGACAAGTCCAGCATCATGGTACGCAAATCTAATCAAAGGAATTGGTGGTATGTGACAAGCTATAGAATGATGTTTATACTGTGTCTCTCGTATGTTATTTCAGTTGTTGAAATAGAAACTGGTTTGGATATTTCCATTTTAATGCAGTGAAGCAAGTTTAATATCTCATGCAGCATTCTCAAGGAACCAAGGTCAGAAGACGATGTGTAACAGGAACATGACAAAATGAGGTTCTTTTTACGTAAACTTTCTCCGCCAAATGTCACCGCATACAAAAATATTTTGTTCTCTTATAGCTTACTTGAATAATCATTGATTTCCATCCACAGACTTTGTATTACGCAAGACAAATTGATGGACAACCAACCCCAAAATATCCTATATAACCTCTGTAAGTACTTCTCAATGGTAATAGTTCCTCTTCTAAAGAAATAATTATCTGTGTTTACTTTCTATTCCCAGAAGAGATAAAGAGAAGTTATTAGTGACAAGTCTTTGTTATATGTATAAACTGTGGATTACACCAGTAGATAAATTGATTATTGGACTCAAATGGTTGGTTATACTTTCTTAGACAAGGTTGCTTAAGAGAACTTTTGACAAGCGAAAGGATTTTCTCATACTCAATTAAATCATTAATTCCGTTTGTAATCTCATAAGTAATATATTTTCATGTACACAGTGTGCTTCTAGCATTCATTGGTCATTAAATGATGTATTGTTTGAGATTAGAAAATATTTTCAGACTAATCAAAAGCAGTTACAGCAGAGCAGTTTTTTCCGAATTGTGTATCATGGAGAATGGTACCAGGAACTTGCTGGAAAGGAATCAAATTTTGGTAAGTTCTCTCGATTCTTCTATTTATTTGTGTCCAATTAAAAAGCATATCACAAAAAGTTTTACATGGTTATGTTATGTTTCTTTATATGCAGAATTGATTCGCGAATAAGATTAATTTGATGAGAATTTTCTGTAAACGACTCAAATGGCGTTCCTGCCACACAGATCAAATTGGTTAGTTATATGCTTGGTCACTGATCTGTTTTCTTTCTTCATTTCTTCATGTTCCAATCGCAGACGGTATATCATAGGACTGTTTGACTGTACTATACTTTTTTTTAATATCCTGAACTCATTCGCTACTCTTGCTAGCTATGCAAGAACTTACCAATCAGCAGAGAAAATACTAAAGGCCAAAGCTATGAAGGACCAAATTCTATTTGTCAATTGCTGAAATTTCATCAGGTCTATATTTCTCTTTCCTTCTTCCAGTGTGTCTTTCTTGCAAAAAAAATTGCTATTGATAACTTTGAAATGTGCAAAATAAATCTGTCTTTTGATTCCATTGTGTGACTAGTTCTGTTTTTTCTTTAAAATGCAGAATTAATCTACTGGTCACACAAGCAAGGCTAGTATTTAGAAATTATGTTACTGATGAGTAGAGGAAATGCTCAAGGCCAAAGAAATCAAGGAAATTTTCAATGGCAGAAACTTCTTTGAGGACATTGTAAGAAAGAGTAACTAGTTATTAGAAAAGTTTGCTAATAAAAATAAATTTAGAGCTGTTATTAATATAGTATAGGAGGAAATAATTTGTAATCTTATCATAATAATTGTATTTAATTTCATGTTACAGTGTGCTTCGAAAGGATGAATTGTTTAAGACAAGGAAGTCCCCACATAACATAAGGCGACACGTTCACTACTTTACATTCCAAAAGGGATGGAGGAATTAAGGTGGTGATGTTCATCATGTCAGCAAAGCACTTTTCTCTTGCTCAAATTGTAAGAATTTGTACCCTTTGGGAAAATTACCATCCCTTGAGGAACTATCTCTATCTTGGATGGACAAACTGGATAGTGAATTTTGGGGAAGTGAAACTGGAGCCTCTTCATCATCTTCATCCTCTGGTTTCTTTCCCAAATTGAAACAACTCCAATTTTTGTATTTAGCCAAATGGGAAGAGTGGACTTACGAGAATGCAAAGAAGGGAGAAGAAGAAGAACCTATTAGATTCATGCCCTTGCTTGCTAAAGGCACTCCCAGACAGCCTTATCCAGAGGACGACACTCAAGGAATTGAAAATTGATTTTTCTCGTATTCTAGAAGATCGATACTTTCAGGGAATAGGAGAGGACTGGCCCAAGACATTGAAACTGGTTATAAATGGGACAAACGGCGGCAGTAACTATCAACCCACAAGCCAAAGGTAATTACTTATGTATATATATACTCTTTGTTTAATCAAATTACATGTTGCATTTGTGTTTGGAGCAATAGTACAAACTTATCTTTTGAATTTCTGGATTAATATTCAAACACTTCAATTTATTATTATCTTAATTTACTAATTGAAAACGCTAGGTTTGCTGGGTATGATTAATTCTTCTAGAAACTTTAATTACAATTTCGAATTTAAAGTTACAATTCCTACAGGTTAAAAGAAATTCGATATTCACAAGCATCCAATGACTTTTCTGGGGCGATGTATGTCTAAAATATGAAACCAGGTGATTGGCGATTTGCTTTCCATAAATTCTTTAATCCTTCATTTGAATTGCATAAATTATAATGATTTAACATTTCAGCAGCAGATTTATTTCAGAGGCAAATATTTTTTTTGTCCAACTTGCTTACAAGAGAGAGCGCAGCAATGTGAGCAACTGGAGAAAAGAAGGGGATTTTCAAGATCCTTTTTCATTGCTGCTCCTGTATGAGCTCTGCTTTGATTTCCTACGTAAGCTCTCCCTTTTATATGTAGTCATCCGAACCCTTAAGTGTGTATCACGAGGAGAAAAGAAAATAGATTCAGAAAAGAGAGAAAACAAACAACCGCTTGATGTCCATATTTTTGTTTTGGTGCAGTGAAGCAAATTCAGCATTATGACATTGAATATATCTCAATTTGCCGGAAATTCACAATGAAATCCTTTGATGGCTCTTTGAGGTTTGCTTATATGCTTATATGGATATTAACATTCTTTTTTTTTTTTTTTCATTATTAAAGAAACTTAATAAACATATATTTGTTTTGGTGAAGTGAAGCAACTTTAACATGATATCATTAAGTGTTTCTTGAAGAATCAAGGTCATAAAATGTACTTGATGAAACAAGCGTGCTCAATGGTTTCCACGTTTCCTTGGTGAGCTTCCCCTGATACCTATTTTCCTATTTTCTTGCTGCTTTTTATACCTTTCTTGAAAGGTAAATTTTATGGATGATAGGCATTATCAATATTTTCTGTCATTTCGAATATAATTGTATTTATCACTAAATATGTTACAGGTATAGATTCATTTCTAAGGCACATAAATTTACTTGTTCAAGTATTGGCTTTAATGCTTTGTGGCTTTCTTGAGAGAGTGGCTGGATTCCACCATCTATCGAAGAGAAGATTTTCAATAACATTCTTCACTTGCCTTTCTGAGTTTTGGTTGGTTTTCTTTTTTTTTATCTTTATTTGTTTGGGATAAAGGTCTTTGGGAAGTTTGATAGTATTATCTTCGTCAGTTATTCTTTTTCTCTCAAAATTGAAATATCTCCAATGATGAGATTAGAAGGATGGGAGAAGGAAAAGAAGAATTACAATCAGGACATATCTTCATTCCTTATAACAAGATGCTGCCTCGAGTTAAAGACAATACTGTCAGGGTGCCTTCTCCATAGGACAACTCTGAAACAATGCAGGTATTATATTGGACCATGGTCTCCAATTTATGCATACTTTTTATCACTCCAGATTTCAATGCTAACAATCTTGATTAATGTTACCGGTGTAGACTCATTTCAGCAGCACATAGATTAAGTTGTTGAAGTGCTATAATGTTTTGTGGTCTACAAGAGATAGAAGATCAAAATGTGACCAGCCAAAGAAGATAAAAAGATTTGAAGTCATTTTATGCAATTTAACATATATTGAGGTCTAGTTTAGTTCTCTGTAAGCTCTCCGTTTTACCTAATTTTTCTCTGGATTATGTACTTGGAAAATCTGGCAGTCTTCTCAAAATAACAACCTGGATTTTCAGACCAGTCAAAAGCAGTTACAACAGCGAACCTGAAGCTTCATAATGTCCATAATTGAGTTTTGATGAAGTGAACCAAGGTTTATATGTCATTAAATATTTCTCGAAGAATGAAGACCATAAGACCATGTATGACAGGAGCTTGGCATTTTGAGGTTCTTTTTACTTCATTCTTTTTATTATTATTTTTCTTTTTTGGGTTTACAAATAGTTACCTATTTAAACCAAGCATCCAATTTTATCTGCAGAGCTCTTATCATGCTGGGCAAGACTGACAGAGGCTATTCACCTTGAAATATACAACATAACCTCTGTACTTACTTCTTTAAGGTTGCAAACCCACTTTTCATAGATTATTATCTGTTTTAGTTATTAACTGCAATTATTAAATATTAGGACCTGGAACTTTATGTGCAACGCTTCAACTTTCAGCCCTAAAACAACTTTTTTTTTTTTTTTTTTTTTTTTTCTCAGTGTAGTTTCATGCACAAGAGCTGAGGAAAAGATGATTAGGCTTCTTACAGAAGAAGTCCCAAATACACGAACATGGTTACGACAGTCCCAGCACTGATAGCCATTAGAACCTTAATTATCCATCCTGATCCTGAAAAATGTGGAATGTTTTCCCATGTCGCGGCAACGGAAGAAGTAGCCACGAATGACGCAGCCACTCACATGACCTTGTGAGTAATCATCAACATTTAATAATTTGTTTTCCTTGAAAGGGGATAATGCTGAGCAGAACAATGACAAAGCAGGAGGATGTGAAAAATGCAATGTTGTTTCTTACTGTAAAGAACTTAAAAGCCGTAGCCGTTGTTCTGCAAACTTTTGAATTCCTTTTCAACCAACCCTCCTAGAAGGCTGCACCAGGAAGGTTTATGTCAGCAGTAAAAGTTGTTAGTGTTTTTGTTAATGCCGGATGTGCAAAGAAAAGAGAATGGAAAGGAAAAACTGGACTGATTTCATTAGATAAAAAATCTGTATATAACATACTTTAGCTTACTGTTTCAACTACTGTCAGTAAGCTTTTACTTAATCTCAGCTAAACCACTCAAGTCTAACAACTTCAACAAAATAAGCTGAGTCATCAAATTCAAAATTAACACTAAAGTTTACAGTAAGACTTAAACTACTGAACTCTGAAACAGCACCATGCACGTCCCTGTACAGCAGCAAAAACAGCTTCAGACTTTCAGTTTCAGCAAACCATACTTCCAGCACAGCATCAATCTTCAACACTCCACCTTGGTGCTTTGGGTGGAAACACCAAGTTCTAGCCTTAAGGCTTCAAACTTGGATTTGCACAATGCCTTTGTCATAATGTTAGCAACTTGATCATCCCCTCTACAGTGCACTAAGTTTACTTCTCCTTTGCTTCCCTCACAGCATGATACTTAATCTTAATATGCTTAGTTCTGCCATGGAGTACAGTATTCTTTGCCATTGCTACAGCCGACTGGTTATCACATAGAATCAAAGTAGGACCACCCTGCACTTGGAGCAAATCATTCAACATCTTCCTAAGCCACACAGCCTGGTTCACGGCTGCTGCAGCAGAGACGTATTCAGCTTCAGCAGTAGACTGTGCCACAGTCTCCTGCTTCCTTGACAGCCAACTGATTGCACCCTTATTAAGATAAAACACATAACCAGAGGTGCTTCTAGCATCATCCAGGGATCCACCCCAATCACTGTCAGTGTACCCCAACAACCTTAGACTTTCGGATTTCCTAAACCAGATGCCTAACATGCTGGTTTCTTTCACATACCTCAACACACGTTTGGCAACTTTAAAGTGCAATTCACTTGGGTTGCTCATAAACCTTGAGAGGTAACTTGCAGTGAACATTAGATCAGGTCTGGTGGCTGTGTAATACAGCAAACTTCCCACTAAGCTTCTGTATTTCCCTTCATCTACCCTCTCTGCATCATCTGTTTTGCTCAATTTCACGTTGGGAACAAGTAGAGTATTCACTGGTTTACAATTCTCCATTCCAAACCTCAAGAGAAGCTCGGTTGCATACCTCTATTGACACATAAAAATCTTACCAGCAGCCTGACTTATCTCCATGCCAAGGAAGTACTTCATCAATCCCAAATCCGTCATTTCAAATTCAGCTTGTATATCTAACTTAAACTGGTCCAATTCATCAGGATTACTCCCTATCACCAACAAGTCATCAACATAGAGAGAAACCACAGCCACTCCTTTCTCAATTTTCCTAATGTAGAGAGTGTGTTCATTAGGACTTCTAGTATAACCAAGGCTGCACAAATGGTCATTTATTCGGCTGTACCAGGCTCTAGGGGCTACTTCAAGCCATACAAGGCCTTCCTCAGCAGGTACACATAATCCTCCTTTCCTTCAACCTTGTAGCCATCGGGTTGCTCTACATATAGCTCCTCTGAAATCCACCCATTCAGGAACGCTGACTTGACATCCAGCTAGAAAATTTTTCAGTTGAACTGAGCTGCAAGTGCTAACAGCAGCCTGATTGTGTCTTGTCTAGCAATCGGGGCAAATGTTTCCGAAAAATCAATACCTGATTGCTGTGCAAAGCCCTTCACCACTAGCCTTGCTTTGTGCTTGTAGATTGAGCCATCAGGATTGATTTTCAGTTTGAAAATCCATTTCACCTTAATGACTTTCCTTTTTTCAGGTCTTGGTACCAATTTCCAAGTTTGATTTTTATCAATCATGCTGAGTTCTTCCTGCATTGCAGCCCTCCACAATTCAGATTTTGCAGCATCAAGATAGCATCTTGGTTCCACCACTGCCACATTGCACCTTTCGTACACATCAGCCAGAGATCTTGTCCCTCTAACAGCATGTTCTTCTTCCTCATCTGAATATGCCTCTTGAATCAACCCCTCATTCATCTCATCCTGACTTGATTCAGCTTGCACATCAACCCTTTTTTCTTCCCAGTTCCAGACTCCACCTTCATCAACCTTTATGTCTCTTGTGATTACAATCTTCCTAGACTCAGGAATATATACTCTATAAGCTTTAGAGTTGCTGCTATAGCCTATAAATATCCCAATTTCCGCCTTGTCATCCAATTTGGACGTTTTGCTGGCTGGGATCAAAACATAGGCTATGCTTCCAAATACTTTCAAGCTCCCTACAGCTGGCTTGACTCCACTCCATGCCTCAATTGGTGTTTGATGTTTGACTGCCCTGGTGGGCAGCCTATTCAGCAGGAAAACTACTGTATTAACAACTTCTGCCCAGAACACTTAGGAAGGTTCTTTCCAGCCATCATACATTTGGCCATTTCCATAATGGTTCGGTTTCTTCTTTCACAAACACCATTCTGTTGAGGGGTGTATGGTGCTGTGAACTGCTGCTGAATTCCAGCTAGACTACAGATTGTTTTAAATTCATTTGAAGTGTACTCTGTCCCATTGTCACTCCTTACTATTTTGATCAAGGTTCCAGCTTCATTCTCCACCAGTAACTTAAATTTCTTAAACACAGCAGCCACTTCATTTTTCTGCTTCAAGAAATAAACCCAAGCCACCCTTGAGAAGTCATCAATGAAGAGTACAAAGTACCTACTACCATTTAAGGATTTAGTCTTCATTGGACCACACACATCTGTGTGGATCAATTGCAGCTTGTGACTTGCTCTCCAGGCTTGATCTGAAGGGAATGATGGCCTGCTGAGTTTGCCAAGCTGGCAGGCTGTGCACAAGGTCCTCTTCTCCTCTATCTCGGGCAGGTTTAACACCATGTCCCTTGACTTGAGTTCTTTAATTCCAAGGTAGTGAAAATGCCCAAGTCTTCTATGCCATAACTCAGACTCTTCAACCTTGCTGGTTAATGCTGAGTTTTCTGATTTTTTCCAGTCTAGTGGAAAGCTTTTACCCAGCATCCTAACACTCATCAATTCATTTCCCTCACTATCCTTTATAATGCAAGCATGGTTTTGAAAATGCAAGGTGTAATTTCTCTCTAACATTTGACCTACACTTAACAAATTCTGTACAATTTCAGGTACAAATAGAACATTAGAAATAACCTTAGTCCCTGCCTGAGTTTGGACTGCCACATCTCCAATCCCTCTTGCTTCCACATAGTCACCATTTCCAACCTTGACTTTGGAGCTATAGGTCCTGTCCAGCCTAACAAAATTCTCCAAATTTGCTACCATGTGGTTAGTACACCCGCTGTCTATCAGCCAAATATCTCTGCTGGTCTGCATTGAGTAGCATGAAGCCACAAATAATTGTTCTGGTTCACTGCTCTGCTGCTGGTCTTCTGCACTTTGTGCTTGCTGTGGTGGCTGTGCACCCTTGTTCCTGCACACTTTTTCAATGTGCCCGAACTGCTTGCATCCCCTGCATTGGATCCCAGGCCTGATACCATGTTAGTGTTTTTGTTAATGCCGGATGTGCAAAGAAAAGAGAATGGAAAGGAAAAACTGGACTGATTTCATTAGACAAAAAATCTGTATATAACATACTTTAGCTTACTGTTTCAACTACTGTCAGTAAGCTTTTACTTAATCTCAGCTAAACCACTCAAGTCTAACAACTTCATTACAAAATAAGCTGAGTCATCAAATTCAAAATTAACACTAAAGTTTACAGTAAGACTTAAACTACTGAACTCTGAAACAGCACCATGCACGTCCCTGTACAGCAGCAAAAACAGCTTCAGACTTTCAGTGACACGACCCGCCTCGACCCTCCCTACCCCATAAGCTCCGGGCGCACCTATGAGACTCGGGCGGCCGACACGTGCCGTGTGGGAATCTAAAAACCGGTACTCTAATCATAAAAACATTTGCTTGGACTCGTTTTGAAAGCATAAACACATAAGATTTTGAAAATCTGAAAGCTAACTTGTACGTTCATAAAATCCAAAAACGGATGGTATCAGATATTCATATCTTTTATAATCAACACAGGAGATAATCATAAGGATAAAACATAATTCGGTAGCGGTAACAAGCATGACATTTTTACACACATGATGAGTTGATGACGTAAGGGCCCAACCTCGAGAGGAATCACTCCTCAGCACGACTCTTCCTGTGAACCTGGGAAAAAGGGTCTAAAAAGGGGTGAGCTGAAATACTCAGTGAGTGGGGGATTGGGGTGAGTTTGCAAAACATTCTTCAACAATAGTCATGGCATGCAATAGTTCTTATGAAATCCTGAAAACAACATGATTCTATGAACATGATATGGTGGTAGCTAATCATCCTGTATGCATGTAAAACTCGTTTTCTAAAGTTGTTCTAAGTATTATAATATGATCAATTAAACTACAACAATTTCTGAATCCTAGCTCATCACAAATATTGAAAACCTTTTATGAGAACTTAAAGAATAGCTGTAAATGCTCATGGTTCTAAAGACAATGTTTTCTATGAATCATGCTACAAACATCAACTGTTTCATATAGCTAATGCAAACTATCCTCTATACTGAAAACTGAACTGTTAACTGATACTGAAAACTGCAGGCTGGTATCTGAAAACTTTAAACCGATATCCTGTTTGGAAACAGTAAACTGATACTAAAGGTTCTCATGCATGTGATTCTGAAATAACAACTCTACTAGTCATGTGTAACATCCAAACCTCATTCAATGAACACTCATGATTCACAAGACAAAATCTGGTAACTAAATTTAAAACTATTGTGATGATATAAAATTGATAACTGATTTTGGAATACTGTAAACTTTGTGCTGATGACTGAACTTTAAATTGGATACTGTAGCTTTTACTGTTACTAAAACTATAAGCTAATATCTTATTTCGAAAACCGGGGCTAATACTGAAGGCCTCTTAATTTTTGAAAACTCATATTGAGACTATCGCTCATAACTGATACTCAGAACTATGTGATTTTGAACATTCTAAAACTGATTATGATATTATAACAGAAAACCCTCACCGCAACTAGTACCCTGGGGAAAAATCTGTCATACCTGGCGGACCCTCAACGCCCAGGCAGAGCCAATAAAATCTGTCATACCCGGCAAGATCTATCATCGCACGGGCAGACCACTGAAACTGTCATACCTGGCGGACCACTCAACGCCCGGCAGAGCCAATAAAATCTGTCATACCTGGCGGACCACTCAACGTCCAGGCAGGCCAATAAAATCTGTCATACCCGGCAAGATCTATCATCGCACGGGCAGAGCCACTAAAACTGTCATACCTGGCGGACCACTCAACGCCCGGGTAGAGCACTAAATATCTCAATACGCATGCCAGAGCCTGAAGACCAATTATCTCAATACCCAGCGGAATCCTGCATCGCGTGGGCAGAGCCTGAAGACCAAATATCTCAATACCCAGCGGAATCCTGCATCGCGTGGGCAGAGCCTAAAACTGGGGGATGGGTACTTCGTAGGGTGGTTTTAGCACCATAACATCTCATGCATAATCTCAACTAACATGTAAGTCAAGAACTTACCACATATGTGCTTATAAATCATGCATATTGACATAATATTCAAAAATCACATCCAGGGGTGAAACGAAAATTTCCAAACATGTTTTAAAACTGACAGTTTAACCCAGATTAAAAATTACTTTCAATATCACATTTCCATAGCATATGTCCATCACTAATCATAAGATATATACCACATTTCATATAAAAGTAAATCTGCCAAATCGTATGAAATTCCATGCAAATGGGGGTAGAATGCAAGTTTTAAAACATACTTTCAAAACTGACAGAATGCACCCCTTCTCTTTTTCTTTTTACCAAGAAACCATCTACCAACATCACGATCCTCAACCCGTATACAATTCAACAATTCTTACTCTCAACAGCACATTTTATTCATATCGCATGAATACATAAATTCTAATACCAAACTTCACAAACATTTAAATAAAATCACAAGTTAACATGCAAGCATGGATTTAAGGATTTGGAAGAAGATTTGTTTAATCCACTCACCAAATCAAGCTATAATTTCAATGGGGCATTCAAGACAAATATATGTTGATCCAGTAATATTTTCAAGTCATTTCAGAATCAATAACTATTTAAAACACAATTTCTTTCAACTCATTTACATTTTCCTTCAATACCATTTCAACAGCCAACAACTGTCACCACCCATGAAATCAACATTTCCAATTTTATATATTTTCCAAAATTGAGGAAAATCCACCAATGGCACATCGAAATCAACATGATGGAGAAGCGATTTAAATTAATAAACTAAGAAAAATCACATGTAATTTTATGAGGGTAATTACCAAAATTAATCAAATATGGCAACATGCAAACTTATTTTTTACTATTCTGAACAGGTCTAACCCTTCCTTCAACCACTCTTCAAGCAATAATATAACTCATCTCTCCAGTAACCCACCTTTATGGTTTATACATATATTTAAATAGCATGCAACATGAAAACTCAACCCTTGGGAACGAGGTCTATGCATTTTCACCCAAAAATTAGCTCAGCCAACATGCAAAGCAAGATTCACCAAATAATCACACTTACACAAAAAATTACTTCAATCATTGAAATAGCATTAAAAATTTACATGCAAAGGCTTTCATTTAAGTTTGAAAAGAATACAGGTTGAATCCCACTCACCATTTTTTTAGCTCAACCGAAACTTTAAGGAAACCTCAAGCACTCTTTCCTCCAACACTGAAATAAAAAAAATGGTGGGATCTGCGTCAATTCTCATAATTCTCATCCTCCATCTTTGCTTCACTCTTCCTCTCTCACTCTATCTCTAGACCGAAACACCTCTTTCTTCTGTTCTCTTCTTCTTCTTCCGCTCTCCTTCCTTCTTTTCTCTCTCCTTCTCTCACCTGTCTGGGTCTTCTTCTGTCTCGGCTTCTTCTTCTCCTTTGGCGAACAACTCTTTCTTTTTTTTTCTTTTTTTTTTTTTTATATTTTTAATCTTTCTAAATTTATGCTTCTGCCCCTAGATTACAGGTAATCCCGCTAAACCCCTACCACATCAGCTTTTCTTTCAAATAAACCTCCAGATTTTGCCCCTTGTTACATGCAAACCCAGTAGCTTCCTTTTCTTGCTATTTCATCCCCAATAAAACTTTTAAAAACTAACAAAAATCCCCTTCCATAAAAATAAAATCACACAGAATACGTAATATGTATTAGGATTAAAAACGGGGTTTCACATTCAGTTTCAGCAAACCATACTTCCAGCACAGCATCAATCTTCAACAAAAGTAACTGCGACAATCAAACTTGCCACCATTATAATTGAGCCCTGGGCATTTTGAAGCGCTCTTTTTATATCTCATATTGCCTTTGCTTTTTCTGGCAAATTTTGAAAAGTTCGTTCAGTTCTCTCTTGTGTCTATCACTCAGGGTCCTGAATTCTTTCAGATTGCACAAATCTTTTGCTTCTGTCAAGGTGACTGATTATAATTGCTTATTGTCTTAAATTTCTGGTTTTTGTAGGGATGGAAGCTCAAGTAAATCCTCTGTTCACATTGGTTCCATGATTGATGTAGGCAAGAAACCAAAACATTTGTTGACATGCTTGTGTCGAGGCCAGGTGGTTAGCATATCCAGTTTTTGCTTCTGGATCTGTGGTTTTTTTATGGTACTGTCATGACTATCATATTTTTATTTAATTTGACACTCTCTGGAGTCTTTTACTAGATTTTGCTGACATTCTTGAGCTTGATGTAGGCACAACTTCTGCCTGCTGGCAAAGTTGGAAGTCTAAGGGCAGTTCACACTGTTGCCCATATCAATCCTTTGGAGTTTTGAAGTATCAGCTATTGAGAATGTATTTCTGAGACCACTGGTGATCGAGTTAACAATTCTGTGATTGTTTTACAAGCAGCTGTCTTTAAGACTTTCTTGAACTGGTTGCTTTGTGCATCACTTATAGCACCGTATGTCCCTCACAATAGCAGCAATTGATGTTCTCTGTTTTTTTATCAAAAATTTTATACTGCTAACTGAATTAAATTTGAAATAGACATCGTTCAGATGGTACAATTAAAATCAATGCAAGCGCAAACCATTTTGTTCTTTATCTGCAGTCTTGAAACTTTTCCACTTAAATTTTACAGCAAAATGACACAGTTTCTTCCCATGTTAGGTACTCCTTTAAGGCGGAGAACTTAACCAGAATAATCATCAAGGATTGGAACTCTGTTATGCATGGCTGCAAAGTGCAATAGGGTGTAACCTTTCTCATTGTATTTCAGAGTAAGGTCTTGGTGAACCCTTAAAAACAATCTAGTTATCTTCAAGAGTCCTCTGCTACAGGCACAGTGCAATGGAGAGAATATCCAGTCTTGTTGGTTTTTTTAGCAGCACCTCCAATATGCTCTGAACAACTTCTGCATTATAAGCCATGTTTGTTCTAGACTTTAAGAATGAGATTTGATTTTTACTTGTGTTCCCCATTGATGTGGCAACATATAGAGCAGTTAAATCATCCTCATCCTTTTTAAAGTCCATCAACAAGGATTGATTCATCATGAGCTTCACCACATCAAATGCCATTTTTATCCAGGCAATGGAAATTGCACCTCCATTTTCATAGTTAAGCTTTGTAGCCATCCATGGATTAGTCTCCAAGAGCAGCATTACCACATTTGCTTTCCCTTGATGACAAGCTTCGTGCAATGGAGTCTCAAGCTTCTTGTTCACAGTTGCAACAATTTGAAGCGCTGAACCTTGAGGCAAGGTACAACACCGTGTTCAAGTGATAATCAGATTTTTTTTTTTTTTTTCCTCTGTGTGTGTGTGTACCAGAATCTTTGTCTTAACAAAATTGTCAAAGACACCTCTATCATTGTTGGCAATTTCCTGGAAATCTTTGAATCCATTTCCTTCTTCTTAATTGCCTCTGCTACTAATACTTCAAGAAACTGTACAAATCTTGTGAAGTGAAGTAATGTTGAAGAAGTTATCATAGTGTTAATTATCCTCTTTTTGTGTTCTTATATCAATCCATTGATGAGGTGTACTTTATACTCAACTTTGAACTGAAAGTATCCTCATCTTTGATTCTTCATGGAATTCATCAGGTTATTTCCTGGAACCTTTATTCTTACCAAATTAATTTGTGCAGTGGTGAAGAAGCAAATATTATTTTGTAAGGACAGTGAACAAACACTCTATAAGACATAGTGAATGAGTTAACATTATACTCAAATTGATAATTATTAGAAAACACCTTATTAATTTATATGAATCATATGTAAATGGAGTATTATGAAGAGTTAAAAGAAATTGCTTGGATCGTTCTTGCAAGCCGAAATAGTCTCAAAATCACCTAATCATTTGATGGGCTGAAATGCTTTCGCAAGTCCAGTCCACACTTCAATTGAGTTCAAGAAATTAACTATGATGGCCTATATAAAAATTATATAATTTCCAAAAAATTTCACAACATTTAGCTGATACAACCACCTGCAGATTAAATCAAACAACACCCAGCCAGCAATAATTCTCACACAATTCAACCAACACACACAGTCAAGCACAACTCAAGAAACAAATGCAATTCCTGCACTACTTGTATTAAACAGAATAACTGGATGAAAATAGAACAGATGAAAAATGGAAATAACTGAACATAAAACCCTGGCGTTTCGAGGAGCCAGGAGCCTCCACTGTTTTATCAATCCAAAATCAAAAGTTGCTCCCTACTACATCTCTCCCTGAATATATACTAATTCCCTTTTTCCACAATTATCCTTACTCACACAATTTGTATTCTCCAAAACTGAATCCACCCCCAATGACACCTGTACTTTGTGGCCCCTTTCCCTTAACAACCTTCCTAATGCTTTTTACGCCCTTTAAGGGTGTATACCTTATGCACTGCCGGCTTATCATTAGCCTGCACTCGTTTCTAATCATAATCATGAATTACTGATAGCTTCGCAATCTGAATGGCAAAACGGGACACTGAACAACCGGCCCTAGTTGAATCTACTCTGAATTCTGAAAATTCTTTTATTTTCGTCCAAAAGTTTCAGGGCTAACGTATTCAAGTTTCTTGTGAATGCAGTTGAAACTGGAAAGTTTATCGATCAAAATATCGGAGTTAGTTCATCTTTCTCTCCTCATAATTTTGAGACAGTTGCTGTGGAATATATAACATAACCTCCGTCCTTCAGGTTGCAAACCCACTTTTCACAAATTATTATTTGTCTGATTTAGTTTTTAAGTGCAATTGTCGTTATGATGAAACACATGAGGTGCTGGTCTATAATAGGAGGCGTAGGAAGGGGCAATAGAGAATTAATTGTTGTTATTGGGCAAAAATAGGTCCTATGCGTGTGTGTATGTGAGGGAGATTTGTGTGAAACAGGTGAAAATAGGAGTATGGTTGATTGGGAATTCTGTTAGGGAGAGAGAATGAATAGAATAAAAATGAGACAAGAAGAATTAGAAGGTTATTCAGAGAAGAAAAGTGAAAAGGGGAGGTGGCTGGCCCTTGAAGTCCAACAGGCTATGTTACTAAGTTGTTACCCTGTTTATCTTCATTTTTGTTATTTCTTTACTTGTTCATGTTGACTGAGTTGAGGTTATCTTGAATTGGAGTAGAGTTCATCATCTTCAATATATATATAATTTCTGATATTTCCTGTGTTGGGCAAGTTCTGGTTGTGTATTCTGGGTTGATTCATTATGACTGCTGTGCTGTGTGTTTTGAGTGAATGATTCTGCGTAGCTTTCCATCAATGTAATATGGTGTTTCCATATTTATCTTTCTTAAGGAGAAGATTAGATGATATGAAGAAATTTTCCAGACATACAAGTTCATCAAAGTGGTTGAATTTTACAGAAATTTGTTTTCTTTGAAAGGGGATGAAGCTCACCAGAACAATGACAATACAGGAGGATGTGAAAAATGCAATGTTGTTGCTTACCGTAAAGATCCCTTGTTCTGCCAACTGTTAATTTCCCTTTCACTGGTCCCTCCTAGAGGGACTCAACCGGAAGGGTTTGTGCCTGCAGTAAAAGTAACTGTGGCAATCAAAATTGCCACCGTTATAATTGTGTTCCTAGCATTGTGTAGAGCTTCTCTGTATATCTCATCTTGCCTTTGCTTTTTATGGCGACTTTTAGAAGGTTGATTCAATTCTCAGCCGCGTCCATCACTCATGGTCCTTGTTTCTTTCAGATTACACAAATCTTTTCTTCGGTCAAGGTAACGGGTTCTAATGGCTTATCATCTTGAATTTCTGGTTTATTTAGGGATGGAAGCTCAAGTAAATCCTCTTTTCACACTGGTTGCATGCTTGATGTAGGCAAGAGGCCACAAGATTCAATGACACGCTTGTGTCGAGGCCAAGTGGTGAGCATATCCAGTTTTTGCTTCTGGATCTGTGGTTTTATTAGGGCACTGTCATGACTATCACATATTTTTCTTCGATTTAACACTCGCCTGATCTTTTCTAGATTTTGCTGACATGCTTGAGCTTGATGCAGGCACAACTCCTGGGCTACTGGCAAAGTTGGAAGTCTAAGGGCAGTTCACACATTTGCCCATATCAAATCATTTGGTGTTTTCAAGTATTTTTGTGACCCCTGATGAGAGAGTTTTTCTGTGGCTTTAAGGCTTTCTTAAATTGGTTGCTTTCTACATCACTTCTAGCACTGTATCACGTTCACAATTGCAGCAGTTGATGTTCTCTGTTGTTTTATTCAAAATATACATTGCTAACTGAAATAACATCTTTCAGATAGTAAATATTAAAATCAATTCAAGTGTAAACTATTTTGTTCTTTATCTCAAGTCTTGAAACTTCCACTGGAACTTAACAACAAGATGACACACTGTTTCTTCCTTTTATGTCAGGTACTGAAAGGAAGTTGGAGAACTTAACAAAAATCTTCAAGGACTGGAATTCTGACATGCATGGCTGCCAAGAGCAATGGGGTCTAACCTTTTCCATTGTATTGTAGAGCAAGGTCTTAGTCAACCCTCAAAAACAATCTTGTTACCTCCAAGTATCCTCTGCTACAGGCACAATGCATTGGAGAATGTCTTGTTGGTTTTTTGAGCAAAATTCAGCCAAACCACCAAGCTCCAACATGTTATGAACAATTTCTGCATCATAAGCCACGTTTGTTACAGAGTAAGAATGAGATTTGGTTATTACTGTAAGCCCCAATGATGTAGCAACATGTAGAGCTGTTAAATCATCCTCATCTTCTTAAAATTCCATCAACCAAGATTGATTCATCATGAGCTTGACCACATCAAAATGCCCTTCCGTTTTCATAGTTAAGCTTTGTAGCTAATCACGGATTAGTCTATAAGAGCAGCATTACCACATCTGCTTTCCCTTTGTGACAAGCTTCAAGAAATGGATCCTCAAGCTTTTTGTTCACAAATGCAACTCAATGGTATCGTTCTCGAATTTGAAGCACTTGAACCTTGAGACAAGGTGCAGCATGGTATTCAACTAATGATCAGTTCTTTGTACTAGAATTCCTTCGTTGTCTTGAACTAAATTGTCAAAGACCCCTCTATATCATTGACTCGTTGGCAATTCCATCAAATGCCTTGAATCCATTTCCTTTTTCTTAATTGCCTCTGTTTCTGAGGCTTAAAAACTCTCGAAAACCCAGAAAATTAGTGCTAATTCTGTGATGTGAAGTGTTGTTGAAGAAGTTATATTGTGTAATTCTCCTGTATACACTCTTTCTATCAATCCATTGCCATTGATGAGTTGTAATCCTGTAATACTTGATTGAGATTCAGTTTATAGCCAAAGGGCAAACAAGGCAGTGTGAAGGTACAGATTTAGTCAAATGAAATTTGGGATGCAAAA